ATATATATTAAAAAAGCTTTGAGCATTACTGATAAATATTTATTTATGGCACTATCACAAGAGTAAAAAAAACATTTAAAAGATAACGGCTAATTTTATGCTTTCATAGGTCAACGATTATAACAATGGAGAAAAAAACAACATACATCGGACATTATTGTTTCTGTTTGATGATTGTCATTCTGATCAAAGTTTTCACTACTCTTGAAAATTGCTCATTGTGTTTAAGCAAAACTGAAATATTTACATGAAATAAATCGAAAATGGATATCAATCGACTGAAGGAATAAGTAGCAAACAAAAAAAAGAAAACTCTCGGTATTTTCTGTCTAAAATGCTTCATTTGAATTTTTCTGAGAGTAATTTTTTAAAACTGAATGATTAGAGTGTGCAAAAGTCTTTAAGAATAAGGCTTCATATGATATGTTGAAATGTCTGATTATGATCGATTCCTGCACTCAAATTCTATTATGACAACTTTTATTACCATAATATAAGCAAAATATCGCTAATTATTTTAAAGGATGAAAAAATTCAGTAACACTTCTTGTGATTTAATAAATTTTATAAGTATTAATGCAAGACCATTCGCTGATATAACTTAAAAATATTATTAAAATTCGCAAAGCTATCAATTTTGTGACAACAGTATGAGTGAAAGTTAAAAAAATGTGAGTAAATTTAAAAGTATTGGCCAATAAATCATTCCTATCGATGGAGAAAAAATTGGAAACTGTTGTCGATATCATATTAGTAATTTGAAATTTGTACGATGCACGATACATTTCTTAATCTGTAGGCTTTTTTCATATGACTCATAGCATTGGAAGTATTGTACCATTTTAAAACTATCAAAGATAATTTTTTCTTTTTTTGAGATGTCATTGTTTGTCATTAAAGAAAAGAGAAGACACTCTTTTAATAGCAAATAAAATGGAAATTTTTTGCCCCACCAATATATTGAAGCTTCCATTATTGATTGAAATAATTTCTTGAATTAAAAAAAAAAACTTGGAACAGAGAGGAAATAAAGAGACAAAAAAGACGGGAAAGAAAAAGGAGAAGAAAGATGAAAACAAATAAGTGATATATTTATTTAGGCATATGTGAGTCTCCAACTTAACTCAGTCGATAGACACTTTTTTGAGGATGTAAACATGAGTGCCATTCGTGCGATCGATAATAAACAAAATTATTAGGTAAGAGAGGGCTGAATTGAATGTTATGATACTAATGGTGTTTGCGTGCTTTGAAAACATCTTTCTGCCAATTAGGCTCGATATTGATGGTGCAAAAGAGAATGAGCCTTAAGGTTAGCGCAACTTCCATTCTGGGCTCATTTAGACAACTTATCATAATATGAAAGTGAATTTCCACTTACAAAGCTGCTTTTCGTCCAAAATAAACAGTCCAAAAGTACTGCTTAAGGCTCAATGATTTCAAGACTTATTTATGCATTTGTTGTAAATTTAAAGTAAATTCACTGCAAAGCGCTGCTGGCTTCAAATGTGCGTTTCCGCTTTCCAACGATGGGAATGATCCGTCGAAAATTAGACACGAACCTCGAAAATTAAAATTCAATTTTTAACAATTTTTTTTGGAGAAAGTTTATTTGTATTAAAGTGTTAATAAAATCTTTTCTTTTGCTCGTAGTTGGTTGGCATATTATTACTGCTTATTTGGCAAAAGGCAATAAAGAAATCCAATGCAATCATAAAATGAAGCCAGCCAGTGTAAGTTTCTGTAGATTTTCCGGATTTAATTTGTTGGGAATAATACGGCTTATGAATCAAGAACTCTCGTCGAGAAGAGAGGCGCTTCTGTCGTCTCTTTCAAACATACAGTTATAGTTCCGACAGAGAGATATCAGGAATTATCACTAATTCCATGTAATAGTTCATATATAAAATAATTCAAATGATATATTCTATGATACAATGAAAATTGATTTTTTGTTTACTTCAGTTGATTTCAGGATGAAATTGAGTTCCAGAAAATTGATTGATAGAAGTTGATTTGTTGCTTTCTGCTTAAAAGGAAAAAAACCTGACAAATTTGCAAAAATTTCACATAAGTAAGCTGAAACATTTTCAACTAAACAAATCTATTCAAAAATCGAAGTAAAGTTTATAGTTAGTTCAGCAAGTTTTGTTCACAGGAGTAATTAATCATATATAGATGAAGGATATAATTTCGACATTTGTTTTCCTTCTGTATCACGTAATATTGATTACATCGTAAGATTCATCAGATTTTGTCAAATTAAGGAAAAAATGCATACTAATTAATTGATAATAATTGTTAATTTAACTGGCACTGTTTTAATAACTGCAAAATCGCTAATAAAATTTTCAACAACAATTTAAATTTTTTTCGTGTTTAATCAATATTTTCTATATCAGTGATCGAATTCACACAATTTAAATTCTATCAGACAGTGATTCATCACATATTATCTATAACACATCCGTTGTTGCATTTTTGTTTGTCACTTCATAACTGATATGAATTAGTGATTACATCATAAACTGTTCTCCATTGTGTTTCGATTTACACTTCTACATTACATCTTAAAAATTTTCCTTTCCTTTAGCAAGAAAGAAATGATGTAAGTTATGCACATTTTATTGACAAATGGAAAAAGATTTTTCTATTTTAAAAAAATTTAAATGCTTTCACATAACAGCTACTTTGCTTTATGCTATTTAATAGGCTAAAGAAATTCGTATTTGTTTGATCATTTCATCGTATCTGAAATTGTTAAATTTGAAATATCTAAAATGGTTATGCTGGACATTTTCCATTCTTTTATTGTAATGTGAGCAACGAACGGATTGAAGAAAGAAACTTCATGTTTTGTGAATGCTTTTCAGCTTGTTTTCAGTTGGGAAAAATTGAAATTCTTCTCTCTCTTGCAAATTCTATCTTTTACACTTTGAATAAACTATCAAAATTTTATTAAAACAAAAAATTCTTCTATTTTCAAAGTTTTATAAGCTAACAAATCAACTACTAAAATTTGAAACATTTTGATATCAATAATCTTTTTAATTGACGTAATTTCATACTTTAAAAACATCACTGCGTGACGGTAACAGTGCTACTATACCACTATTATTATTAAAAATTGCAATATAGTGCATTTTTCAAAAAAAGAACACTCCAAATACAGTGGCTGTCTTAAAATTATGCTTACTATTCTAGCTGATTTAAAGTGTATTTTGTTAAAATAATCTAATTTATTTTTTAAAAAGAGAAAGTAATTTACAATTCTCTAGTGACATTGAATATTTAATTACTAACATAAATGTTTTATGGAAGAATCTTATTTATCAAACAATATTTTGCCAACTATCTTTGCTTTTGGATAGAAAATTGGAATTTAATTTTCGAAGTATTACTCTTATAACCTTTGACCAAATATAGCTTTTTTTTAAATTAACGGCTAGTTTCAGAGAAAAAACTGTATGATAAAATCAATAATAATAAGGCAGAAAACTTGCAATTTATATCATAAAGATGTGTGGATACAAATATTTCATATGCATTGTTCGATGAATACTTCACATGGCAAATATATAATTATAAAGCCGTAAAAATGAAAGCAAACAAAAATAAAATAAAATGAATTTCCAAATTGAAAAATAAATCGTTTTGAAAGCAAAGACTTATTCAAAATGAAATTTGGAATGGGATGATTTAGATGTTAAATTCAAAATGCTCGTCGTATTCAAAAAAATATGAAGGAAGTTAACTCATAAAAATGGCAATATTTTCAATCATCGATTAACAGTTTATCCTTTTGAATTATGCATTGTCTTTCTTCTTTCCAATATTTCTAATATTTTTCTCAATCTATTTAAATTTAAATTCTGCTCTGCTCTCCATCGAATTAGCGCTTTAAACAAATTGCGGAAATGATTAGGTAAATTTTTAGTCATAAATATAATATCATCACATCGACATCACTTATCACAAAAATGTCTTTCGAGAATTCTCAACGAGCATAAGTCAGCGAAACGATGAGTTCGTTAGTAAGGTGCTGCTCGATGTTGTATGTTGTGGGGATTGACCTATCAAAGGACCTTGTGAAACATTGAAATTTCGCATAAATTTAGTACTTTGAACGGAGGGGCGACAAGAACGCCATACGATACTCGTAGGAGGTGAATAATGGGAAATAAAATGGAGAGGTTGTAAGCCAGGACCTTTCGTTTTTCTCCGAGCGGTAAGAAGTGCTGGCTGTTTTGGTTGCATTTTACACTGTAAGTAACCATTGTTGCAGAAGTCACGTTGAACTATCAACTTATCACAATACTTTGTTCTATTTTGGCTAATAGCATGTAGCAATCCTTCCTTCTCATCATAATCCATCACGTATATGTCATTATACTTATCATTTGATTTCTGGCACTTATTCGTTGTACATAAGCAATGATAGTCATAATTATTGTGCTTCATAGAATTCTTTGGTTCACATAAATTCTTGGATACAACAGTAGTAACTTGTTCTTCACACATTTTCGTTAGGAGTTTGCGTGAGGTAACACGTTGAATTTGGTAAAATGAGTTTTGCAGTTGAACGTGCTGTGAAGGAATACCATCCGTAATGGTGACAGATGGTTCATCTGAACGTGAACGTTGATTCATCACTGATGAATTATTATGGTCCAGACGTAACTTTCTCGCTGTATTCCATACCGTTTCCACATGCCAGTACCAATGCCAATAAATGTACAACTGAAGAGGTCAATAAATTAACGAATGATGAGGTCATTGATCCTTTCCATAGAAAAAAGAATTTTCTTACATATCATGATAAGGAAATAAAGTTCAAAAAATTTGCTGAACTTTGACATTTACTAATTTTTCGATAATAATGAATTGTTTTTCAGTTTTTTCTTTCGATAGTACTGAATTATTACTTCAGTTGTCGCTTCGTTTTTCAAATTTAATAATTTAAAATAGTAAAATAATAATGTGAAAGAATAATGAAATAATGAAAAATGACACCAAGAAAAAGTTCAATGATGCCCCAGCAGCGTAAATTGATATGGAAAGAAGTGAAGCACTGTCTTGTTCACCGGTGAATGTCGGTAGTACTCTTGGAAGAGCAGCTAAACTTAATATCAGCAGACCGACACCATAGGCACTTTGCTAAAAATTTATGCAAATTTTCGTATAGGCAAATTGAAAAAAATTTTTCAGATAATCATTATTAGAGTCATGAAAGAAAAAGTAATGTTTGAAAAGAATTTATCCAAAAGGGAAAATTTCATTGTTAATGGTTTCGTAACCTTTTTCCCAATGCATTATCTTTTATGCATTGAGAATTAATGTTTTAAATTTAATCGATGGTGACATTTTAGCACTGCAATTCAAAATGTTAATTTAGATGGTCAACATGTGAGGAGCATCTGAAATAAATTGCGTATGGGAGTCGGAAGTTAACAAAGAAAGATTTTTATGTGTACGTTATTCGTTATTTATGGCTTAGATCATCTCGTTTGTTTGTGAATGATCTGGCATAATGTCTTCTTTGATATGATAGAATAATATTACTTGAATAAGAAGAGGCCATAAGGAGTAAGGCCTTGGCCTTGGTACGAATGCAATTGGCAAGCAAATAACGAAAGCAAGAATGTGACATATGCACCAAATGCATCGTCCATAACCGCCATCCAAATGTTGTGCCACGCAGCTATCAATACCCCACAATGAGTGGAATAAGCCGATGTCAAAAATAATGATATCCACACCAACAAGCAAAACCGGTTCCGTTCCATTTACGAAATCACAAAAAAGTATCTGAAAGTGATTTAAATTAAGGTTCGCACATTTTCGCATCTCTTAATTCCTAATTTCAATTGAATAAATTATTTCAAAAGTAAAATTGTAAACCATATGAGATATCTGTAATAAATTAATTTCATTGTTGTTAGATAGCCAATTATTTATTTTCGCTTCACATCACTTTACTTCTTGCTCTCATTCACAAATCTATTTTCAGTTTTGAAAATATACATTTCCATTAGATAATTTTTTTATTCGCTATCTTCGTCTAAAGTACTTTTAATAAATTTTGAATATTTGTCATAATTACCTTATTATAACGAAAAAGTGAGAATAAATGTTGTGTCATAGCCCAAATGCAAATAGCAAGCTGTATTAAACCAAGATAAAGTGAAATTTGTGAATTGAGACAGCGATGCCCCAAAATTTTGGAACTTTCATCGCGGATCAGCAGTAACTTCATTAGCAGTAGCAATTATCAGCTTTCATCATTCATTCTTTTCTGCAATTTCAGAGTAATTTAAGATTGATTTCTATTTCAAGCATTTTATGATGAACATTTGTTAACCTGTGGTCTCATTCGAAAGAGATTCTTTCTAAGGATTCTGTAACTGTTGCTGTCGACGCAGTTGTATATTTTCGAATATCAAATGCTACTGTGTCAGTTACAAATGTTGAAGATGCTGCGAGATCAACAAAGCTACTCGCTCAAACAACCTTAAGGAATATTCTTGGAACAAAAAGGTTAACCGAAATGCTCTCTGATCGTGAAGCTATTTCTTTACAAATGTTTTCAACAAAACAACATTGGATTGAATCAATTTAATTCTCAATGAAAATAATTTTTAACAAATTATTGTTAACCTTCCACCATTTTCCGATGATAATTTGATTAGACCAACTTATATTCACTTATTGGGCACTTTCCTGATTCATAGAAGAGTAAGTAGTATAAAAGCTTGATACGAGGATATACAAGAGTAGTACCTCGGATAGGCCAAATTAGATATCATATCATTATCACTCTCACATCTACGTTACAATCAGTCAAAAATCAGTCAAGAATTAGCGAAAAATATGAGAGATGAATAGAGAAAATAGTTGAATAGTAGTGCTAAGCAATGGATATTAGCAGATTAACAGCAAAACAAGCCAGGTATGAACAGCTGACAAAATCACATTTGACTTTTCAAGGATACGATACATGTGAATAACAGTTTAAGGACAAATATCAATGAGTTGAATGCCAAATTCCTCATTTCAGTATTTGAAAAAATGGCCCCCAATTTAGATTGCACTTTATTGCATATGGAATTTAATCGATTCCTAACAAATTTGACGCATTTCTATTTTGTCTCTATATTTTTCCTATCTCTTCTATCGTATTTAATTCGACCTTTAAACTGTAGTAATACTCCATGAAAATGTCAAATTTAGTCTAATAACAATATTGAAAAAAAAATTTATCTCTCCAGTTCCAAATTAATTTTTAAATTATGATAAAAGAAAAGGCATTAAATTGCTTCAGTCGAAAAACGGCCGATAATTTATTTCTGTTGAAATATGCTACTGGAAAACGGCAAAAAATTTCAAAAATTGTCGAAACAAGAAGCTTTTAAATTTAATTCTAATAATAATAATAATAAAAAAATGCAAACGAAACAACGAACTTTCTCATCTTTCTATTTTCAGTTATCAGCGCAAATCGAAAAAAAAAACTCTTTTCTATGAAAATATAAGATGTGCAACATATTTAATGACAAATAGAAATTCTTTGAATTTCTTGAAAAAAGGAATAAATGTGAATAAAATGGAAATTAGATTCATGAAAAACAATTTTCAATTTTCAAAGTTTATTTGGCGGATCAAATGAAATAGTTTTGACGTTATTTATTGGTGTAAATGCTAATTAATGATAAAAATTAAATTCATGCATTAAATTAGGCCATGTATATATGTTGCAAATATATATATATATATATATATATGAAAGTTTGGAACATTTTAATGTTATAATTTTGAAACTAAATTACGTAAAAAAGAAGCCATCATATATTTAAATTTCTTTCTATTCTGTCCATTATGAATTTTAAAAAATTAGAACTGATAAAAGACAAATGAGGACTAAAATGATGCGATATTCAATTCTTTCCCTTTGATTACATTAGCCTCATAATTGACATGATTGAACAGAACTATTTGTTAATTGATAGTTTAAAAGATACCATGATTGTTGAAACATTTTCCAGGTTTATCTGAAACTTCAGCTTTGAAGTTTCTATTAACGTATTTATTTACTAGTCTTTTATATCATTTGATAACATTTAGACTTCAAAACTAGCAAAGAATAAATGATGGAAAAATTCTTAACAAAGATCTATAATTCATAAGTTTAACGTTAATCTTATTAATATCCAAGTCATTAAAAAAATAGTTGTTTTGCTAGTAAAAAATGATAATTGATTTTGGTCAGTGATGACTGATTTCAATAATAATTATTTCTTCTTCGACACAACGAAATTCTAATTATAAATATTCCTGGAGATTTATTTTTAAAAATGCTAGAACATTTTGCTTCTCACTTAGAACAAAAAAACTAATCCCCACGTATATCAGAATTTTCATCTCTTTGTGACTGAGATCGTTTGACCTCGAGATAGTTTTCATTGATCTACTATATGATTGTAAGTTGAATGAATATGATTTCAAAATCTCAAAACTAAAGTTGTTGCAAGCTACGAGATTTTCCAATTTATTAGGAAAAAGAATTGAAAATTTTTGTTTAGCTTTAAAATTATTTCATTCAATTTTAAACGTGAAGCATTTATAGGATTTGAATTTAATTAAGATGGTGCTGATAAGTTTGAAATCAACCATTAATTGAAAGCATTGATGAACAGTTATTAGCTAGCACCATTTATATCAACAAATTCTGAATTGTCATAAAGTTGAAAATCTTTTTATTGAATGCATATTTCGGGACCAGATATCTGCGCTTGTTTGAAAGATTGATAGAGAAAGAAAAAGATCTCAATGTATCATTTAGTGCATTGCTTCTTATGTTTTAAAGTAAAATTTAAAATGATGACTGATTTTTTTCTTTTTATCCAATTCAGACACAAAGATTATTTAGCAGAATAATGAATTTTTTAAAAAGTTAAATATTTTAAAATTTACGAGAATATGTTATTAAAAAAATAAAACATTTCAAATATATAAAAGTGTTCACAAAATGCCTACGGGGCTATACGCCTATGTGAATGTCTGCAAACTAGAATTGCTTGCAGACATATCACGTTGTGTATGTATGCTTATATATACTCGAAGCGCTTATACTTTGGGTTGCTGTAAATGGTTGAATTTAAATATTTAATAATAGAATATATCATTGCATATAGGTGTCACACCTGTAGAATGATATATTACATTATTAAATAGTGAAATTTAGCAATGTAAAAAGCTATATTCCAATGCTTATTTTCATTTTATTCTCCTCATTCTATATTTATCTGAGGAAAATGAAACAATTGAACAAAAAAAAGCAAATTTGAATGATTTCTTCCATGAGTTGGAAATTTAATAATTTATAAATATTAATTATGTATTGACCAGAAATTTTTTATGAATGTGTAGTTATGGACCAAGAAAGTTTATGAAAAAAAAAAGAACTTGAATGACAATTATCAAAAATTGATAGTGATTTTAACTGAGAGCAGTTATTAAAAAAATTGATCCAATTTATGACAATAAATTAACGAAAATAACCGTAAATTTGTTTGGTATTAGAAAAATTAAGAAATTTGATTGATAAAGTTTTTGTATCGCCAAAGTTTTTTTAAATGCCAAACACTTCTTGATCGGATTGTGAATTGTGTATGACAATTGGTGACAATCAGTTCAGCGTCTGAATGGAGAAAGCTCTTGCAATGCTCGACTTGCATAAAAGAGAGTAATGGTCATTATTTATTGGTTTGCAGCTAATAATTTCCTGAATTTCAATGAAACTGTTAAAAACTCGGAAATGTGTTCATGAATCGATAATACGCCATCGAAAACACATGTAAAAAAGGTCTAATTCTTCTTCACAATAATGCTGAAAAACTTGCGCTTCAAAAGATGGCTAAATGAACTGTGAAGTTATGTCTCGCTACTTCTTTAAGTATCCCGACAAACTTTTTAAAATGTAAATAGTTCTGAAGCCAACTAAATGCAGAAAATATTTTCCAAGAATAAGTCCAATTTCAAATATCGTTTCTATACTATAAAATATTATATGGATAGAGATCTGGAAACTGTAATAGAGTTAGCGATTAATGAAAAGTTTTGTGAAATGCTATCGATGAGATTGAAAACAATCTGTTTAAGAGATATAATGAATAATAGCAAGAATTGTGAATTTTAGCTAAATGATCCGTTCACTTTATAAAACAATTTGGAAGCTTACATCAAATATATGTTAAATATGTCATGAGTTTTTCTCTCTGTTATGAGACTTTGAATTATTAAAAGCAACACCTTAATTTGTTTGTCATCTATGTAATTTTTCTTGGAATAAGATAGATGATAGTAGTAGTTCGTCAGACGATAAACAAATTAGTTGTTAGGAAAATGATGCCAAAATTTTTCAAGAAATGCAAACGTTGATGATTTTCCTCATAACATATTTAGCATATGTATGATGTAAACTTCCAAATTGCTTTATGATGAAGTGAACGAATCATTTAGCTAAGCTCACAATTCCGACTATTATTCATTATGTCTTTTAAACAGATTGTTTTCAACCTCATCGACAGCATTTCAGAAACTTTTCATTAACCAAAAAGTCTGTTAGTTTCCAGATCTTTATCCCTATAATATTTTATAGTATATTTTCAGGAATTAGTAATGTAGTATTAGGTATAACCTATAAAGTATGGTAGGTCAGATTGTTAAACGATCATTTGCTTACTTTAAAATCATTCTTTGCTTGCCGTCCAATCGTCTATTAAGAATCATTAGACTAATCAATTAGGAAAATATGCTCAATGACAAACTAGATCATGGAATTGAAGTAAGAGAAATAAGTAAGAAAGAATGATCAGAAATAAATGGAATAAAAATTCCTTGACAAGTTTTTATTCCGATCAAATTCAGAAGACAAACAGATCATAACATTACGTAATAAAATATAAATTTTGAATAGAAAAATTGAATTGATAAGTTTATAAGGTAAAAAAGGAATTACAAGAGACTGGAAAATGATTCAAATAATTTTAGAAAAAATTTAAACAAAGATGATTAAATTAATTTGATTTATAGGTATAGTTTTTTGACTGATGATTGTATATTAGTAGAATATTCTAATCATTTTCGATTTCTTTTGATCATTTCGGTCTTTATCACATAGTGCCTAGCAATTCAATTCTAAATGCTTCCCTTAATTACCTAATGATTTATTCTTCCTAATAACTTACTATCAGTAAA